CAGAGTACTAACCACTATACGATCACGGCGAGCCACCGGCCGGCGCCAGGAGAGGCTCCGCGCTGGCGCTGTTGGCCGAGCCTCGCTGCGGGCCGCGGGGTGCTGCGCCCGGGGCGTCCGTCCGTCCGTCCGTCCGTCCGTCGCCGGGACCGAGCCGCCCGCTCCCCCCGGCCCGAGGCGGCGCCCTCGCTCCCCGCCGCCGGGGCCGGAGCTCCAAAAGGGGAGGAGCCTGGCGCGGCCGCTGCCTCCCGGCGGGGAGGCCCCGAGCCACGGGCGAGCTTCGCCTCCGCCGAGGCCCGGCTCGTGCGCGCTTCCGGGCACTAAGGGGGGACGTGGGGGCGGGAGGCGCCAGGGCCCGGCTCCCCCGGCGGCCGTTCACCAAGAAAGGACCAAAAGCCTGTCGTCCCTGGGTGGGCTCGAACCACCAACCTTTCGGTTAACAGCCGAACGCGCTAACCGATTGCGCCACAGAGACGGTGCGGGAGGCGCTCGGCCGGCGGCCTGGTGAGCCGGGAGCCCGCGGCGACCGCCGACCCCGGGAGCCGCTGTGGGAGAACGCGGCGGACAGCCAGACCCGGAGGGGAGGACGGAGCAGCCAGTCCCGAGGACACCGGATAGACCAGGGTCAGAGGGAAGGGGAGGAGGTTCTCCCCGTCAGTGGACTTGGGGAGGGGCAGGGAGGGGATGAGGGAGGGGCTGCAGCTGGGTCCGAAGTGAATACGCTGAGATAAGTTTGAAATTTAAGAATAAAGAACCTGTTAAATAATGATGGAATTATGAAGTCTGAGGTGAGTGGGTGGAACGAGAAATAACTGTCTTGGCTGAGGCAGCGCATACACAAAAGAATTTTTTCCCCTTACATAAAAAAAAAAATTACAGCAGACCTCGGTCAACCAGGGGCGACTCCTTTATTAGCCTCTCGACCCGTCCTGAGGAGCAGCCCAGCCCCGAGCGAGTTCCCCGCCTCGGGGAGGCGCGGGGATCGGCACCGAGGGCAGCGGGAGCCTCGCCGAGCGCCGCCGTCCGGAGCGCGCGGTCCACCAGCTCCGCCCCGCCCCCCGCCCCGCCCCCGCCCCGCCCCGCCCCAGCTCAGCCCCGCCCTCTCCGCCCACCGACCACACCCACGGCCCTGCGCTTTCAGCTCACGGTCACTGTCGCCCGCCCCGCGGCCCCCCCCCCGGACGCTGGTGCCCTCCCTGGGCCACGCCCACCCCCGCGGACCCCGCCCCCTCCCGCCCCGCGCTCGCCATCCTCGCGTTTCCGTCCCGGGCCCGTGGCCCGGCGGCCCCTGCGCGACCTCATCTGCATAGACCACGCCCGCCACAGAGCGGCGCTGCGACTCCGCTCCCTCCGCTCCGCGCTCCAACCCGGGTCTTTCCGGGTCCTCCCCACCGTCCAGCGCAGAGTCCCAGTCGTTCTTCTCATTCCCACCCGCTTCCCCCTGAATTCGTCTGCTCCAATTCCTCTAGATTCCTGCTCGGGTTCCTAACGTCCCTCAGGAGGGACTGTGTGGCCTGCGAGGGCAAGACACGGTTGCCTTGTCACAGCCACAGAAAACAGACAGGGTTTCCCTGTGTAGACCAGGCTGTCCCGGACTCACTTTGCAGACCAGGCTGGCCTCGATCTCGCAGAGATCCGCCTGTCACTAAGTCACTAAGCAATCTCCTCCCTGGTCTCTGGCCTCTGCACCTTCCGGTGGACCCAAGGCTGACGTGGCCGTCGGTGTCCCAAAAGAGCCTGAGGCAAAAGGTCATCGCCGGGCGAAGGGACGATAGTGCCGTGACTCGGATTCGAACCGAGGTTGCTGCGGCCACAACGCAGAGTACTAACCACTATACGATCACGGCGAGCCACGCGGAGCGACGGGCACGGGCTGCGGACGGCCGTTCAGCCCGAGCCGTGCAGCCAGACCCGGCTCAAGATAGCAATAAAGGAAGAGTTGAAACTCGGTCCTGGGATCCTTGCCGAGACGGTCTCTCGGCTGACAACACCGCCGCCTTCAGTCTCTGGACTCCTCACCGCGCAGGTACTTTTTGCCATTCTCGTGTCAATATTAATTGGTCTTGCTATTGCCACAGACTTTTTTAATTAAATGGGTTTTATTTATTTAATTGATCTCACTGCTTTTCTGCTTACAAATCAGACATAAAAATCTGACAGGAGCTTTGGCCTTCCTCCCGGTCCCCATTTCTTTGACCAATGATTTAGGTTTTTCTCTGGGGTCCCATTGGCCTGTTAGTGTTTACGGGCTGTTGTTGTTTTTTAATCCGTTAACTTTTTCTCTCCTTTGGTGACTTATGTTCTAAAACCCCTCTAGTCCTTGCCTCAGGGCCTCTGACCTGTGCCTTTCGCTTCCCGCCACCCCTGCTGAAGTGGCATTCCGCCCTTGCCGAGCTAGTCTTGACAATTTCCCTTTTCCGTCTGTGTTACAGAAATTTACAATGTATACAGTGTTCTCTCTGCGTGTACCAGATCTCATCATCGATGGGTGGGAGCCACCGCATGGGTGCTGGGAATTGAACTCGGGACCTCTGGAAAAGCAGACAGTGTCCTTAACCTCTGAGTCATCTCTCCAGCCCATAAAAATTTTCTAATTTTTAAAAGAGATATTATTATTATTAATTATTATTATTAAGAAAATAAGTGACAGCTGGGCGAGGTGGTGCACACCTTTAATCCCAGCACTAGGGAAGCAGAGGCAGGTGGATCTCTGTAGTCTGGGAACAAGCCTGGTCTACAAATCGAGTCTAGGACAGGCAGGGCGACACAGAGAAACCCTGTCTGGAAAAACCAAAAGGAAAAGAAGCGACCTCTATACCCATCGCTATGGTCATCACTTCTTCAAGCTGAACCAGGTGACCGCGTGGCGTTGGCCCTCGACCTGGAGGACTGCTGCGGGCTGTGCCGGCTGTCGGTGGATTGTTTCACATTTACTGAAGCACCCTTGTTAGGTGACTTTTTTTTTTAAGTAGGAGCTTATGTAGCCCAGGCTGGCCTCCAGTTCCCCAAGTGCTAGAGAATGGCCAGCCTCGAACTCCCCATCCTCCTGCCTCAGCTTTTCCAGCATTAGGAATTTCAGGTCTCTGCCATCAAGGCTGGCTCTGTTTTTAGAAGATAAATATTATGGCATAGATTTTCTTTTTCTTGCCCTCAGCGTTTAAAAAAAAAAAATGTTTTTGCTGTGTTCTCACATCGCTTCTGATACAGCCTTGGAAATTGCAGAAAGAAATTTGACATGAGCTATCTCTTTGTACCACGCTGTTTTCATTGGAGTTGGTCACGGCCTGACTGGGGTTTGTTCTGCATCGTGACTCTTGGATTGGGTTTCCCAGTTCTTTGAACCTCTTCCTTTGATTGTAACAGGCACCCAGACCTTATTTAGCACAACTGACTCCATGATGGAAGTTCCATTCGGGTTTCTGGATAACTGCTCTGGCTAACTGATGTATGTCAACCCATGGTATGTTTATTTTATTTTTTATTTTTATATTAATTACAGTTTATTCATTTTGTATCCCAGCTGTAGTCCCCTCCTTTGTCCCCTCCCAATCCCATCCTCCCTCCCTCATCTCCTCCCATGCCCCTCTCCAAGTCCACTGATAGGCGAGGTCCTCCTCCCCTTCCATCTGACCCTAGCCTATCAGGTCTCATCAGGACAGGCTGCATTGTCTTCCTCTGTGGCCTGGCAGGCATGCTTCCCCCTCAGGTGGAGGTGATCGAAGAGCCAGCCACTGAGTTCATGTCAGAGACAGTCCCTGTTCCCCTTACTAGGAAACCCACTTGGAGACTGAGCTGCCACGGGCTACATCTGTGCAGGGGTTCTAGGTTATCTCCATGCTTGGTCCTTGGTTGGAGTATCAGTTTTAGAAAAGACCCCTGGGCCCAGATATTTTGGTTCTGTTGCTCTCCTTGTGGAGCTCCTGTTCTCTCCAGGTCTTACTATCCCTCCTTCTTTCATAAGATTCCCTGCACTCTGCCCAAAGTTTGGTTATGAGCCTCAGAATATGTTTTGATACACTGCTGGGTAGAGTCTTTTAGAGGTCCTCTGTGGTAGGCTCCTGTCCTGTTTCCTGTTTTCTCCTTCTTCCAATGTCCATCCCATTTGTCTTTCTGAGTGAGGATTGAGCATCTTACCCAGGGTCCTCCTTCCTGATTAGCTTCCTTGGGTGTACAGATTTTAGTATGTCTATCCTATATTATAGGTCTAGTATCCACTTATAAGTGAGTATATACCGTGTGTTTCTTTCTGGTTCTGGGATACCTCACTCAGGATGACCTTTTCTAGTTCCCACCATTTGCCTGCAAATTTCATGATTTCCTTGTTTTTAATTGCTGAGTAGTATTCCATTGTATAGATGTACCACAATTTCTGTATCCATTCCTCAGTTGAGGGACATCTGGGTTGTTTCCAGCTTCTGGCCAGAGTATGTTTTTTTGTGCTTAAGAGCTCACCCTGAGAAAGGTTCAGGGCTATGTCAGGATCCTGAAAACCCAGGGTACTTTCTGCCACCTGACTAATAATGACTTTGTTTTTTGTTTGTTTCTGTTTTGTGAAACAGGGTTTTTCTAAGTAACAACTATTCTAGAACTCACTTCATAGACCAGCCTGGCCTCAAACTCACAGAGATCTGATTGCCTCTGCCTCCAAGTGCTGGAATTAAAATTATATACCACCACAACCAGCTTAAACTGAAACTTAAAGAAAAAAGAAAAATTATTTTAAAAATGAACAGATCCATGAATTGTAAAAAAAAAAAAAAAAAAAACCTTAAATGGCCTCATATGTGAAAACTGGGCTTCATCAAACGCATGGGTAGAGAAGGAAAAATGCTTGAAGAAATAATGACTGAACGATTCCCCAGCAAAAAAAAAGATTTATATTGTGGGGTATCACGTGTGTGCCTAGTGCACTAGGAAGCCAGGGGAGGGCATCAGGTCCCGAGACTGGAGTTACAGACGGTTACAGTGTGGGTGCTGAGGGCTGAACTCGGGCCTCTGCAAGGGAAGCCAGCGCTCCTAACCACTAAGCCATTTCTGCAGCCCCAGTTTGGGTGTTTTCCATTGCTTATGGATATAGTTCCCTGAGCATGGTTCTGCAGTGTGCACCCTGCTGCTAAGCCCTCTAAGGAAGCTGCCCCCTCTGGCATCTTTTAATCTCCAGTGTCTCATTTGGCTGCTTTTAAAGATGCGGGCCTGTGGAATTCAGGCACAGTGACCAAAAGTCCTTTCTTCTAACACCATGGTGCAGCTGCTTCTTTTTCACTGATGGCCTGTCGACGTGTTATAAGTCATGGCTGCCAGAGCCTTGGTATCCTTAGGGGACGGCAGTGGCTGTTGTCGCCTGTGAGTAAGCTAAATGACACTGCAGTGCACCCACAAGAGAGTGAATTTTACGGCATATAAAATGTATGTCTGTCAAACAGTTCAAACACTTGCTTGGGTAGGCTGAGGTGGACTTATTCTGAGGCGAATGGAGATTGCTGCAGGTTCCCAAAGAAAACTTGCTTTGATCCTTTTAGAGATTCAGGTTCTGTCACTGACAAGACGCCCCCAAGTCCTGGGTGATCTTGACCGTGACTGCGCTGTAGCGACTTTGAAAGGTTCAGATCATGTGGGCTCAGGGCTTTTCATGATGGGAGTCCCTGACTGTGGCCTGAGCGGATGTAGGACGAGGAATGTAGGGGTAAATTCTCACCCCCAACAGCATCCTGGTCAGGAAAGCTCTTCTGCATTAAGAACGAGAATGAGCCCTAGAAGATGCTTCACAGTTGACCTTCTCACCTCTGAGGCGATGGTGGTTCCAACAAACCCAAGAAACGGTCGATTTGATTAACCTAGGACAGGTACAGAGAGTGTTGTTAAAATAGGGTGATGGGAGCTGGAGAGACGCCTCAGAGGATCCGGGTAGCTGACAGCCCCAGGAGAGAGCCCACGCTACCCTCTAGCCTCACTGGGCACATGTGCATGGCACACAGACAAGCATGCAGGGAAAATGCCCATAAAATAAATGATAAACATTATCATTTATCATAAAATAAATGACAACGATGCCCTGCTGACTCCTGCTAAGAAAACACGTGAGCCACAAGTACAGCTTGAAGACTAACCGGTAAAGACCTGTAAGAAAGGCCCCTCACTGGATCAGCCCTTCCCCTCAGGGAGAGGCTTGTACTGGGTCCTCTTGAGCAACCTCCTTCAGTCAAACTACAAAAGACATTCTTCATGGATCCACATCTGCAAAATGAAAGCTGCTCCTCAGTCGCCGTTGCCTGATGTGCGTTGGGAAGTGAAGGCATTACGCCGTGTGACACATCTTAACTTCTTATAAACAAAGTAGGTTCCTTTAATCTCCTTTGTTAATGGCATCTAACTCTGTTTATCAAGAAAATAACTAGACTGGGCCCCACAGTAAGCTTGAGGCAGGGATAAAGAAGCACGGGATAACTACGGCTGTGCCATCTCAGGGACTTCTGCTTTGTTTTCCTTTGAGATAGGGTTCTCTTTGTAGCTATGACCTGACACTCTGTAGACTAGGCTGGCCTCAAACTCAGCTGGGTTGTGAGCCAACACATAGTTGCTGGGCACTAAATTTAGGACATCTGTTCGTAACCACTGAGCCATCATCACAGACTGCCCAAAAGTGTAAGCATCCGCCCAACGTGGGGCTCGAACCCACGACCCTGAGATTAAGAGTCTCATGCTCTACCGACTGAGCTAGCCGGGCACTTGCTGCGTCACCGCTTTTTAAGAAAAACCTTAAAATGGCTGGTGACAACTCTTTAATTTCGGCCTTTGTAAACAGAGGCCAGTGGATATGTGTGATTCTAAGACCAGAATGCGTTCCAGGACAGCCGTGGCTACACAAAGAAACCCTGTCTGAAAAGGAAACAACCAACCAAACCAAAAGAGAGTGAGAGATGGAGGGAGGGACAAAGAGAGGGACATAGAGAGGGAGGGCGAGAAGGAGGAAAAACTTTAAGTGCTAGAATCATTTTAGGTAACCTGGTCACTGGTCCCATGGACTAGCCATAAATGTCTATACAGTGTGTTCCTGCCCTGAAGCTTAGGATAACAGCAGGACTGTTGAAGTGCTCTCAAGCAGACAGCTCTGCTCTACGTTGGAGATAATCAGAAATAAGCAAGAACCTTTTCAGGTTTAGAATGCTGCACCTCTAAAATAGTGCAACTTAGTTAAATGGCTCCCTTTTTTGGGAACAAAGTTTTGTTTTTTGTTTTGTTTTGTTTTTTTTTTTTTTTTTTTTTTTGACTAACATAATTTTCCTGCTGCTCTCGGGATGAATTCCTGCCATTGAGTGTAGCTCAGCCATAATATTAAAGCTAATCGCTTTGCTGCACTTGGACTTGGCAGCCGTGAAAGCGACAGGCTGCTCCCCGATATAAATGCTGCTGTGGTTACAGCCTGCGTCCTAGGTTGCTCTCAGGATGGACTGGGAGCTGTACATTAGGATACCCCTGGATGCAAAGGACACTGGGTAATGACTCTCCTGTCCTGCAGACCTCCCCACTCTACAGCATAGATGGAAGAAGTCTGTTTTTCACTGCTGTGGCTATTTACCCCAGTTTTACTCCTGAGAAAGGATTAAAACGGCTTAGGGAAATTTGGTGCGTACATAATAATACATGGATGTTATTCGGCTCTAAGAGAAAATTAAATTGAAAAACGTTCAAGGGAATGGGTGGACTTGGAATATACACTATTAAGCAAGGTCACACGATCTCGGAAAGAAACTATGCCTTCCCTCAGACAGAGTCTAGCCAATAATAATGCAAAGATAATATATAAACAAACAAATGTAGGTGCACGTACAGCACAGCACGAGGAAAGAGAACAAGAAAGGCTGAGAGTTCAGGGGTGCGGAAGGACTCAGCGCAGGTGACGGACACCAGTCATGAAAGAGCATATATGCAGCTGGTTGGTGCTGGCACACGCCTTTGATTCCAACACTGGGGAGGGAGAGGCAGGCGGATCTCTGAGTTCAAGACCAGCCTGGTCTACAGAACAAGTTCCAGGACAGCCAGGACTACAAAGAGAAACTCTTCTCCAGAAATAGAGAGAGAGAGAGAGAGAGAGAGAGAGAGAGAGAGAGAAAGAGAATTAGAAGAGGTTATGTGACAAATAAAATATTGAAATACAACAAAGCGATTTTTACAGGTTTAAATGTATTTAACAGTTTAAGAAAGAACAATCAGAAGATTGTTCTGTTTTGTGTGTGTGTGTGTGTGTGTGTGTGTGTGTGTGTGTGTGCGCCACATCTGTGCTTGGTGCGCTTGGAGGTTAGAAGAGATGGAATTCTGGATGGTTGTGAGCAGTCTTATGGGTACTGGAAGTGGAACTTGGATCCTCTGAAAGAACAAGTGTCTTCGACGCAGAGCCATTTCTCCAGTCCCTAGTTAACATTCTTACTGAAATACAACTACATTGTTTCCCTCTCCTCCCTGACCTTCTTCTAACTCTTCTCAAGTGCTGGTGAGGATCTCCCTCCGCAACACAGAGTTAAAATTAGCAGGACCACTATTCTGCACAAGCCGGTGGCTGTGCTGGCTAGTTTTAGAGCAACTTGACACAGCTAGAGCCATTTTGGAAGAGGGAGCCTCAACCGAGAAAACGGCCCCTCCAGATTGGCCTGTGTTCTCTTGCTGACTGACGTGGGAGGGTCCGCGTGGGTGCTGCCGTTCCTGAGCTGGTGGTCCTGGATGCTCTGAGCAAGCTGAGCTGGACGGTGGGGGGGACACGCTTTTAATCCCAGCCCCAGGCACAGAGGTAGGCCAGCCTGGGGGACAGCAGAGGCTACACAGAGAAACCCTGTCTTGGAAAAAAAACAAAAGACAGTGGCACTTGACAGATTAAGGGCACACTGAGGGGACTCTGCCGGCACTAAAGCAGGTCCTAAGTGTGCACCTGACAACGCGATTCGGCCGCCTCAAGGGTCTCGGCCATCTCTCGGTGGAGCAGGACCCTCCTGTGCCCGACCAAATGCTGGCTGTGACCCGCCGTCCCACGATGTGTGCCGCTAAGCCTGTGTGAGTCCATGTCCTGGAGAAGGTCGCGCCTCCAGATTCTGTGTCATCATCCTCTGGGCTGTCACCCCCCCCCCTTGTCTTATGAGAGGTTGAGACCTTTGACCCCTGGATAGGTAGGGGCAGGTAGGTGCTCCAACTAAGATGGCTCTTCAGGCCTCGCCAGCCTCTCCGAGGGAGAAACTGAGGCAGCACAGACAGAGAGTGTGGGTGAGGCGTGGGGCAGGAAAGGGGCCCCTCGCCTGCGGTGCGGCTGAAGCCTCTCCCGGCTGAGAAGCAGAACGACCACCTTCGCCAAGCAGGATCCTGACGGAGCTATTCGCTCAGTGCATGGATATTATTTTAAACCAGCAACGAGCCGCGTCCGCCGCAGGACACTCCGCCCCAGGAACAGCTGGCGAGGGTGTCCTTACAGGCACCCGGGGGGGGGGGTTACCCTGCAGCCGTCGAGGCCCGCGCGGGTTCGGTCCCGAGTCACGCAGCGGCCGCCCCCCGCGGGGCTCAGGTCGGTGCAACCCAGGACCAGGTCCGTCCTTCCGTCCTCCCCCTCCTCCTGCTGCCTCTCCTCTCCTCCGCTCCTCCTGGGCGTCGCCAGCCGAGTGGGAAACGAGCTCCCGCTCCA